CGGCTCAGCACCAAGAGAGACCCCTGTGATTCCCCCAGGCCCTCCGCTCACGGCTCAGCACCAAGAGAGACCCCTGTGATTCCCCCAGGCCCTCCACTCAGGCTGTTGAGCTTCGCTTTGTGTAAATTACATCTGAAAGTGACAGGTGAAGTCAACATCGGCCTGGGGCACAAGTGTCAGGCACTGGACTGAGCTTTCTTTTTTAGGCTAAACCACACAAATCATATGAAATGCTGATATTTGACCATTCTGGCCCTAAAAAGCAGCATTTTTATATGGTTTGGGCTCAAATGCATGCTAGCTTATTTAATCCTTACAACAGTTGCATGAGGGTGACCCAAGGTCAGAGAAGTTAATTTGCTCAAGGTCACACGATGGTCAGTGTCAGATGCAAGATTCCACACACCAACTGTCCATGCCTGGGCTCTTCACCAGGGTGCAACAAGGCCAGAAATATCAATAAGGCTGCAGCTGGGTCCTCCGTACACACCGTAACTCTGGTGGCGCCCTGGCAGGACTGCTTTTGTTCTATTATGAATATATTTGGTTCTTATGAAGTAGGTTCCTTCACAAACCTAGAATAATGAAACAGCTTATTAGATGATACAAAATGACCAGCTGATTATCCTTAAAAAGTCAATTGTTATCCTCTAAATGAAGAACAGGAATATTGTAGACATTAATGAAGAGTTTGGAGAATTCTTCCTGTTAAGTAACTGAAAAGTTTTAGAGCCCTGGAAAATAGAGTGAGTAGGAAAACCCCAAACCACTAATCTGTCTATATAGTTCTCATTTACATAAAGAAAGGTATTCCATGGAGTGGAACTGGAAACACGGTAATAATCAGGACACTCTGGATGGCCTGCGGTCCTCTTTCACACTGTGATGGAACAGCCAACTATCTTCACATCCTCAACCATGTGCACACCCTGCCTTTTATCACAGCCCATCAGTCTCATGAAAGCCAGGTCTCAGCACCAAGAGGGACCCTGTGATCTCCCCAGGGCTCCCTAAAGGGAAACCGCCTCACACTTAGCATTTGACTGATACAGACACACCGCGCCTGACCACTACCACAGTGCGTTCTATCACTCTGGTCAGGAGAGGGAAAGCTTAAAGCTACTGATAGAGAAAGACACATGGGATCACTGATCCTCTGTAGACCTTCCTTCCCATTTAGTGGAAGTTGTCAGTTTTTAACTCCACATTGAACAAGTTTGCATTTTAAATTCAGTTGGAGGACTTCTGTGGTCCTGCAGGGAGGTCACCTGTGTGATATGGTTATGAGAACACACACGGAACCACAAAGGGCTGATACTGTCCCCCTAGCTTTGGAATTAAAGAGAGGATGTGGCACACTCGATCCTGTCTCGATTTATGGTGCGGTCACCTCAGAGTGATGTCCGCTAGGGAAGAGCATGGCTGTCCTGCCTGCCGTCAACCTCAGGAGTGAAGAGCATGGCTGTCCTGCCTGACACCAACCTCAGGAGTGAAGAGCATGGCTGTCCTGCCTGAC